GTACGTACGTACGTACGTACGTACGGTACGGTACGTACGTACGTACGTACGTACGTTACGTTACGTTACGTTACGGTACGGTACGGTACGACGACGACGAGAGAGAGAGAGAGAGAGAGAGAGAGAGGGAGACAACTAGAGAGGGGCGTGGTGGGGGCGGAAGGGGAGAGATAGAAAGAGAAGTCTAGTCACAGGTAATGGAAACGAGGGGAGGACCCTCTTTATATAGGCCTCAATAGGCTTAGGGTATCCCAATCTTAATTAGGATTCAGTTTGACAAAAAGGATTTCCTAATAATCTATGGGTGAGAGAGAAACAAATCAAAGACATCTATCTCTTAAATCAGCCATCATGATTTAGAGAGTTATCTAGGAACCTTATTCTTCGAATCTTGATGCAGGTTACATAACATTATCCCCTAAATCTTTGACCGATATTCACTTCGAGTCAATCCAGGACAAGACTAGTCAAATCTCAAATTCTATTTTGATTAGAATTTATTTTCTCTCACAAAGACATTGTAGAAATTCAAACACAAAATATTCTCTACTCCAACAAAATATTCTCACTGCCTTTTCCAAAAATTTCCAAGATTATTTGAAGGTTTCCCAAACAAGTAGGAATATTTTATCAACAATTGGGGCATCCCACCTATGCGTGTGACGTGTAGCCCAAGTAGGTCCCACGTTCCACAACATATGGTACCCGCACATGTGGAGGCTGCCCCTCCCCTGGTGGATCCCACTCAATAACCATGCCCCTACAAGTTTGGAAAATATCTCCACCATCAGTTTTACAATTTTTAAGCATAAAATAATTTCATAAAAAATCTAAAAATATTTAAAAAACAAGGAAGCATAAAAGAAGTTAAAATAACATTTCTGAAGTTCTTAGAAATTCTAAAACACTCGGGAGTACCTCTAAAGTGTAGTGGCGCCAATGTGTTAAGGACAGTGACTGTCAAGGCACTTCACTGGTGGTAGAAACCAAGATCCACGACTATCTTCTCAAACCAACCCAACGAGACCCATAACCAATAGTCATGTACAAGGGCTCGTGATTGGCCCATAAAAATGGCCCCATAAATAGTGGAACCATGGTCCTAGTATATATATTGCAGCTTTCCTCAAGAAAAAGTCACATGCACATATCATCATAGTGCAAAGAGGACTCTCTCTATGTACATGTATACATATCACTCTAAAAGGTTGCTTCCCAAAATGCAGGTGTCATATGTACATACGGTGCGGAAGTTTGTTAATGATTTGACCCTCATTCTCACAAGCCTACAACTGCACACATGAAACCACGAAGTTCTCCTGACCTTCAACAAGGGATAACCCTCCAATAAACCACGAAGTTTCTCTTCGACCTCAACAAGGGATAACCCTCCAATAAACCCTCAATGGTAGTTCCTATGACCAGGGCAAAAGGGTTTTGATCATGTCTTGGGCCATAGACCACCCAACCCTAGGTCAATCAACCAATATACACTCCCACTAAAACGCACAATTCACTATATTTATTATTATTACATGCTCTAACAGGCTTTTAAGGCCACAAACCACAACATTGATGAGCATGATGGTGCCAATTATTTCCAATGGGGAACGCTATCATGGAACATCTCATGCATGAAAGGTACCTAATCCGTACTTACAACAAGTTATGTCAAAGAAAGTTAGAGCTATCTCATGTTCTCATGAAGCTAGGAGATAAATCGTTCCTCCAAGATCTTTCTAAGCACCTTCATATTGCACCCATCTTTAACATCATGAATCTTTGTGAGTTTCAACGAGACCCCATGTGCACTTTAGTTGTTGGTTCGTGGGAGACTTAGGACCAAATAAAGGATGTGGTGGACATTCAGTGTGTTGATACATGTGGTTCATACTAGAGATATCTGGTTCGAGGAAAGAATGCCCGTTAACCCATTGTTCGTGGCTTGATGAGCATGAGTTGCGAAGGAGGCCAGAGGATCTTTATCAACATTGCACGAAGGCATACTCAACAAGGTTGAGTTCTTCTCTATGGAAGACAAGGACCGAGGAAATTGTGGCCCTCTATTGGATTAAATTGCTTAGTTTTTTTTATTTACTTACTTTTTTTGTGGCAAAAGAAAAAAATATATTTGTTCATTGGACCTAAGGGGTGGAAGAGATAGTTTAGTTTTTTTTTTGTTTAGTTAGGGGTATTATGGTCTTTATTAGTCACATAAGAATAAAAGGAAGGGGGACATCTAGCCCCTTGATGATTGATTTGTTGAAGAAACTTTTAAGAAATCCCTAGAAACGGCCTCTTCTATATCATTGATCTAAGGCATTGAGAAGCCTTAGTAGTACCACCTAACATTCCATACCTTCAAGCAATTCATCCATAATTCTCTTTTCTTCATCCTTCTACTTTTCTCTTGTCCTCTTTTTTCTTCTTCTGCATTGCCCTCCTTAATTTCTTATTTCTCCTCTTTTCTTTTCCTTCTTGTTTTCCTTCTTTCTAACGCTCCCTTCTTATCAATGTTTACAAATTAGAACTCACTCCAGGACTTAAAGACTGCATGCAGCAAGTGAGTAGACTCAACCAGTCCCTAGTGGACACGTTGAGTCCTGCAAGGTCCTGCAAAAGGACTCAAAAAATCCCAAAAACTACAAGAAAACAAGGAAAATAAAAAATAATACATATAGATCAGGAAAATATAAAAAATAAGAAAACCCATATACAAACTGAAAAAAAAATAGTTTACATGAACTTAAATTTAAAAAATAAAACATGATATCACTCCCCCAATTTTCTAAGACAATCGTCACAAAGATGTGCCCAGTGCAATTGAGGCCTCCAATCTATGTGAATATGTCCTCAAATATCCCAAATCGAAACCCTTAAAATAAATCCAGATTCCTGTTCGTATCTAGTTGGTCCAAGCTCTAAAACTTTCAACCAAATCCTATTTTCACATTGATCATCTCACAATTCCAACACTTCCAAGTGTTGGTTGTAAAATCAAAGCCTTGAATTTGATGGATAACAGAAAAACAGGCTTGGGAAAGAATTTTCAAGGTGGATTTTGCGAGGGTTGCAAATATCTCGCAAAAAACAACCTCGCCCCAATCCCTATTTAAAAAAAAAAAGGGAACAAAAAACCATGATTTTTTATTTATTTTTTGCTGAATCTGATATTTGGATTCAATAGAAGGTTGAAAAATACACCAACGGACAAACTTCCAAAGCATTTTAAACTGAAATTATGAATGAAATGGAAGGAAGGCGTGTAAGATATTGTGCCCCACCCCAGCCCCCCCTTGTTTATATTTTTTCTCTTTTATATCAAAACAGTTACGGACTTGGTAAGTTTTTATGAAGATGCCTGAGTCCACGAAACGATCCGAATCTCTCAAGTACTCGCCCAAGCTGCTAAAGTATGAGGAAGTACCGCTACATGACAGACCCCCAATGAATCGAGGGCCTTCCGGACCCAACAAGTTACCAAATCCGAGTTGGACTCGGCGTGTTTTTGAACAATGCTTATTTTTCCTCTCTCTTCTTTTTTACTAAATCCTTCTTCGTTCTTCTTTTCCTTTTGGTCCACCCTAACCAGATAACAGCAAATGCCCCATCCCCAGTTAACAAAACCCTTAAGAATCCATTTCTCTAGCTTAAGATTGTATAAACAAAATCTCTTGAATTTCGAAACCCTACCTGCCTATAAACTCAAAGGGTATCTGGATAATAATTTTTCATCAATTTTAGGGAAGAACATTAGTGAGACAGGAGACATTCACAAGAGTTTTTTGTATATTTCATATCTGAGAAGAATGGTAAGTTCACGTGGATTTACTAGTAGACCTTTTTTTTCTTTATAAATGTTTGTTTTTTTTTTCTTTTCTTTCTTTTTAGAATTAGATTTTTAAAAGCTTTGAGAACATCTATTTTACTTTTCTGGTAGGACAAAGGCCTTCAATTTTACCAACAATTAGATCAAATGTCATGAGATTTGTTTCCCTCAAGTCCATGGTGATGTGGCTCAATTAAGGAGTTTACGCAGCACTGATCAAGTACTTTCTAACTTGGCCAATAATCTTATAAGAGAAGCACAGAGTATATAAGAGAAGCACAGAATATATAAGAGAAGCACAGAGAATCACCTCTCTACCAATTATAGCGATGGATGGTACAGTTAGCAGCCATGGCACTTGCCCAAACATAGAATCCACAGGCTTCGTGCACAATAACACCAATGTGGCAGCAACCATGAGCTACATTCAAGTGACATATCAATTGATGTACTCCAAAATAATTTAATAAACTGCTCAACAAAAATAAAAAGTAATAAAAATAAGTGAAAGGCTTCTAATATATTGCATGCCCCAACTCAATAGATCAAAAAACATGATTAACTAGGAAAGCTCTTCCAAATGCACATCACAAGCCTTACCTTGTCAGCCACAGGGTCTAAGAATGCACCAAAAACTGTACCCGATTTCATCTGTTGATTAAAAAATTAATTAACACTTCATACGATTGCGATGGCCAGGATAACAATCCCCTATTCTTAATATTAAAATATTAAAAATAAAAAAATAATAATCATAAAAAGAAATTAACAAGAGCTCAAATGGAAAGAACAATAAAAAGAGAAATGAGTTGAAGTCAACAACAAGCATACTTTCCGAGCAAGGTAGCCATCAAGCCAATCTGTTACTGCTGCCACAACAAAGATGCTAGTACTAGCGGTTGCTGACCACCAACTATTCATGTAAAAAGCTAGTGAGCAAAGTTAACATGTCAGCCTCATTAAATGTCAATTATTTTTTAACAAATACCCACATAAAATGGTATGTCACTAAATATTCATAAGCTGTTAACTTGCCTTATGAAAAAGAAAATACTTCCATAAAATGAATGGACAGTTGAAAAAGCTTCAAGTAAAAACAAAAGACACCAGCGTTAATTTATCATGGTGACAAACTATTCATACTAATAAGAACCAATCTACATGACTCATACTTAATTATTTAATGCATAAAGTTGCTATTTGTAATACTAGGTTATCTGCCACAAACTCAATGTATTAAATGCACATCTAAAAGAATCAACCCCTAATGATACTCCAAATGGACAATAATTCAAGCAAAAACTGCAAATGCTGCTGCAGAAAAATTGTATGATCCATCAACTTTGCAAGGGCCACATCAGAGTTTTGTTACGATACAGGTCGTGGTTTTCTTGGCGAGGATGGAAATTTGGAACTACTTTATATCTGTAATGTTGCAATAAAATTCAAAGTAGCGAGGTAATTTTTCTTCAATATCAGAGGGCATATTGTCAAAGATAAATAACTTGTGTACCACACTTATTATTGTATGTTTAGATATCACAATTATTTTATGTTAATCACACTTTTATTGTCAATCAAGCCTACCAATTTATGGCTCATCCTACAAAGGCTCGTATATAGAAGCAGCTAGACATGTTATTAGTATATCAAAAGGTATGGTAGCCATTGGGCTTTTTTATATCCATCATGGCCAGCATCTTATTAATTGTTGCTGTTTTCTTCACAATCATCAACCGCCACAGGACATTGCTTCTATGTTGGTCTTAACCACATTTCTTCCAGCAACAAGAAGCAGGTCATTTTATTCATCAAAAGTGCCACAGCCGAATGTAGAGCCTACTTGGTCGTGTAATCTTCTACGAGATCTGCCGAATGTCAAGCCTCCTTGGTCATGTAATCTTCTACGAGATCTTGGCTTCACAACACTGCATACATTACAACATGTTGTGACAACAAAAATGCAATGTCCATAACAGCCCGTCCAATGATCCATACAAGATTGAACATATATTATTGGTTAGTTGTCATCGCATGTGAGAAAAGTATAGCCTTGAGGCATTGTGCCCAGCATGTTGCCACGAACTCATATCTTGCAGATGTTTTTACAAAATCACAGCCCAGGACAAGCATCATTTACATTTCATCCAAGCCCTCCAGACATGAACTTGCATATTCTGGGGATATGTAAGAGCAACATTTGGATGCTTATGTCACGTGGGCTTTAAAGTATAAATGCAATTCATTCATTTTTTTGTTTAGGGACATTTAAGTGATCTCAATCATTCTAAAAGTGATCTCAATCATTCTAAAAGTGATCTCAATCATTCTAAAAGTGATCTACTGCACCCACATGTAACCCAAGTGTTGCTATCTTTGCCCTGAAATAATTCATCGATTTTTAGCCACTCCATAACCCTCTTCGAAAAATAAGATTCTTTCCATTCTTTTAGCCTATTTAAAATGATTGTTTATCTAAAACAATGGCCTAATCCAGTTTGAAAACAATATCAATACGAGACTGAAACTAAAAGAACTAAGTCTTCTATTTCAATGCCTTCGTAACACAAGCCATAGGTTTAAGTTCATCTGCAATACCTACTCATAATAATATTGGGTTTGGGGTTTCACACCAAAATATTTAGAGAAGAAAGATATAACTTCACATAAAAGGAGAATGGATTTGTGCCCCAACATTCTATAGTTAATAACAAATTATAGCAATAAATGAGATCACACACAATAAAGACACTCAACCCCCACCATGGAAACTCAGAAACAATTTTGGCTCGTTTTAGATCTTTTCGTTTCTAAGTTTTGTAACCAGAGGGGAACCAACTAAAAGGGAACTCCTTGAACTAGAAAGATAAGATATCGTCATCATGAACTCCTCAAACTAAACACCCCCGCAAACCTCCCCACCCCCCCTCCCCCAGTGGGAGAGCTTCCTTCCTCTCTACCTCTATGAACGAGGTCTCAGAAGTCAGAAAAAAGGCCCTAACTACATAAACAAAAACAACAGCCCTCACTACCATGGAGGTTTCCCTTACAAATCATTCATTAATTCTGATGTCCCACTCCCAAAATGAATACTTTTAGCGCTCCCTAATTACAAATGATCTGTATTTATATCCCAGAGATATGCCAAAGCACTAGTTGGTATCTATGGTTCAGAAATGTGCAGAAAAGAACATACATAACAGTAGTCCAGACATCTGCTCCACACAAGCTCTCCCTTGTATGTGTGCAGACACATAAGATGGAGTACGAGGACATTAAGAGTTAAATCTACCAAGTTGCAATATACATTAACATTAGAATGCTTGAGCTTGCTAAAAACCATTGCACATTGATATGCCGGTCTATCATAACTGTGTCCACCAGGCCACCATCTGTCACATTTCCCTCCTAGTGCTGAAAAGACAACTCAATTCTCCATTAGATAGGCACTTGGTCCTTGGCATCTAAGACAATCCCCATGAGTTGGAATGGCTAGTCCAACTCATGAACCAAGCAGAACATTTCTCCTAAGACAGCCCATTACACACACAAATTTGATAATTAATGGACTCCTACAGCAAATCAGCTTTTACTTTTCCTACCACATGTTGAAATTTGGTGTTTGACCTTTTGATGATGTCATGTATTCAGACCTCTTATTTTATTTTATTTAATAATTTTATACTTTATTTTTTGTTTTTTTAATTGGGAAGGCATGTATACAAACCGCATCCCTCTAAATTCCGAAAAAGCTCCTTCTACAATGTATCACAAAGAAACTTTACAAATCTTTCGGATTATTTGTAGTGTAACTGACAATGTTAAGCTCCTGTATTTCAACAAAACAAAAATGGAGTTCGCGCACGATCATACTGTATAACTAGCTTTCCTCGTGTCAGAAACATGATAGCTAGTCCAAAAAAAAAACTGGACATAATATTTGTTTAGAAGCATTATTTAATATTAGTATGTTGTCACAAAGATCACAATTCCGTCCACAAATCTGGAAAAACAAAGGGGGAAATGGTTAGGGATCAGGAGATTGGCCTTGGAATTCATATTGTCTGAGTACAACTCTAAGAGGGATATCTTATCGAATGATTTTTGGGAATATTGTATCCTTTACCTACTAAAAAGAATTTTGAATCTCAACATTGTTTGTACAATTGGCGAGTGGACTGGAGACTCACTAGAGTTGATTCATCTAAACACTCTCTGCATCAACTTCGTATTGTCAAGTTGACTCTGCTCGAGATCAGACCAAGTCCCCAGCAGATCTCGCACTATAAAACATTAAATGGAAAAATACAATAAAATAAAGTAAAGAATTCCAGACCCCAAAAGAACCCTTCGTGAATCTAGATGCTCAAGGTAACAAAGATTATCCAGACAGAAAAATGACATCAGAATATAGCAAATAACCAGAAATCCCATTCTTTTTCCAAAATAACCAAATTACTTTCAATGCAAAATAAAAGCCCCCTCTCTTTTTTTAACGTCTGAATTTCAAATGCCTCAAATACCATAGATGAACGCAGGCCCAAAGATTAAAGGCAACTTATAGGGATAGAACAACTCAAAACCAGTGCCAATGGATTTTTGAAGATGATCTTAAACTACATCCACAAAAAAAAAAAAGAACAAAGTATGGAAATACCATACCATGGCCAATATGGTCCAAAGTAAAAACCAAGTTCGGTAAAAAACTGGTCAAAACCCATGTTTCACCAATCTGGCCTACTCAAGCAGCTAGATTCGACCGTTTCAACTTGCCAAACAAAGTGGGCAACTTTTTTATTTCTAATATATTACATATTCTAAAACTATTATTTATAATTTAAATCCGATCGAACTAGTTTAAGTGGCGATTAAACCAATTTAAACTAGACCAGATCTCTCACTGGTTCAGTGTCCAATCCAATCATAATAACGCTAGTTTATCCACATTTATAGCAACCACTTACATAGATTGCAATACCATGAACCAAGACAATTCACTGATAGAAAACAACTAGCAAAAGCCAAGAATAATAGGGATTTTATTATAAGCACAAGATATATCCATCTACAATCAACTTAATATGTATGGAGGACCTTTATGGATATAGATTGCTATCTGTATACCCACCTAAAAGCCACCAATTTCCAATTGAAGAAGTTTGCTTTTTGTCCATATTTACAGCAAGCACACAATCAGAGTGGCCTGCCAAGAATTAGGACATTTTTCATTTGGAAACACTTATACATACTTGATACTTCACAATGGCCTAAAGGCACCTTACAGCATTTATAGACCCAAGTGCAACGACATCCTGCTCCCACTTTCACTAGTGAAAATATAACTTGGAGATTAGTTCCTACAAGGAAAATTAGTAATTATTTCCATACATGTGTCCCCAATGCAAGAGATATGCTACTTGTACCAACTTCAATGAGTAAGTCACAGATGCCTGCTATGGACTACAAAGTCACATTATACTTTCCTAAGAAATATTTATGGTACTTATGACACCTTTTCCAAATAAAACAATGAAAATTTGAATAGAAAATCAACATAAAGGCTGAGAACACTATCCTCAGGCCTTCCAATCCTAGTGAGGTGTGTATCGCATCCCAATGATGCCCTTTTATTACTTGATACAAAAAGAAAATATGAAGAATTGGTGGTTTGGAGCTCGTCAGAGAAACTAGTACAAAATTCAAAACATTGGTGATAGCACATTACATTAAAAATTGAGGCGGGGCTCTCTCCTTGGACCATCACATAGTGATGAAAATCTTCAAAATGTTATTCGGAAGACTCTTTAAGTAACTCAGGGAAAGGAAAGCAGTGAACAGTGAGTCATCACAGGATACAGGTAAAAGGAAACCACACAAAAATTCGAAGATAATATTAGATCAAGAAAATAATATCCATCACGTGGCCAGGTCAGGACTGAATTTGGACAGAATGAATACAATAAAATTACAATCAGGAAAACAAAAATTTGTGCAAGACACAGTAATTATCTCACATAGAAAAGGTTGAAGCAAATCGCAGAATTCGCCCCAAGTTGGCTCAGAATGGGACCCTGGCTATTCTGGATAAAAATACCTAAAAATTGAGTGAGTCTACTAAGCCTCAATTCCCCTTGTTATTATCCACAGACTCGGCCAAGTCAGACCTCTGAGTCAACCGATCAGGTGGCTGACGTGGGCTCAAGACCCTGGAGAGTGGTGAGTCCGAGCCCGAGTCCTTGTTTACAGATACTGGTGTGCCACTGTGCATGTGATATATGCATCAATTCATGCATGTGTATAGAGTCGGAGAGATCCATACACGGACATGCAGCAAAGACTAAAAGGAAACTTGACTTCAAAAATGGCATGAAATAACAAGAGAAGTTTATCACACTGACAAACAGTGCCAATTATGAGAAAAGTACCAAAAACATGAATCTGTAGATAGAAATCAATACAACAACAGACGTTCAATGGCATAGGGATTGCAAACCAAGGGCAAGAAGAACCCCCTAAATGTCATACTAGAAATGTGAGAAATAATGTCGCATAAACAATGATGATGAAGAAACTTAGGAATCCCTAGGAATACAAATTGAAAATCACAATGTGGGAAAAACAGGGGAAGATATCCACTTCAAATTTTACTTAAAACATACAGGAAAGAAACAAACTTTGCAAATAAAAGGCTAATTATACATTCAAGCAAATAACCATAACAAAACAAAACCACAGAAAATGAAGATCGAGAACAACTTGATATTCATACATGCGTGTGAAACATACCCTGCAGAAATCCTAAACTAAAAGGTGAGTCCTTAGTAATAGAGATCAATAAAAATGAGAAAGAGATAGAGAGAAACATTACTTTTACTAGGAGACAAGGAGTTGCATGACAATAATAGGTGATAAAACCAAACAAGAACGCAAATTCATATAGAGGCCCATCGCATACAAAGATAATCAGATGCACACTAAAGACAGAACCCAAATAAGAAATTGTTAAAAAGCAAAAGCCCAATCACACACCCAAATATGAAATTGTTAAAAAGCAAAAGCCCAAACAAACACGTAAGCCATAAAAATTAATAATACACAGAGAAAAATGCAGGTGGCGAAACAAAACGAGAACCAAAATCATACAGGCACATTTACCTCACACGCAGATCCTAACTGGTGAAACCCTAACACCAGGTATTTATTTCGTAGCATCGCATGTCAACTAACAGGCAGAAAGCTCAGATAGAGAGAGGCTCATTGCATACGTAACCCAATCAATGAAGCACAAACACAAGAAGCCGAAATCATAGAAATACAAATCAATGAACAAAGAGATGCCAAGATGAGAGATACATCACGCATACATGCACTACTTGGTGAATCCCAGATCAGGGAATGGAAACTACCATTGCAGATAAAAAAACAAACGTATACTAAAGAGAGAAAGATGGGGGAGAGAGAGAATATGAGGTGGTAAGAAAAGAGACAGGAGAGACAGTGAAAGAGAGGATGCGCACTGGTGACAAGAAGGGGAACGGCAGCAACACGGCCGAGCGTCAACACAGTCGGCAAAGTGAGCAATTTGTGCGAAGGACACGAGGAAGAAGAGCACGAGAAAGAAGCACAGCAAGACGGTGGAGGAGGAATTAGCTTCCCGGTGTCTTTGAGGGGAGTCGTCAAGGCCATTGCAGGCGGCGTTTTCACAGTGGTGGCGGAGGCTCGGGCCGAATTGTTGGTGGCGACGCTCCTTCTAAGGGCTTGGAGAGGCGACGCCTTGGCAATGGCAGCTCGATTCTGGCGGGGGGTGCGAAGGGCAGGGGCCATCAGACCACCGCAGGCGCGCTCATAGGGTCGGAGTCCTCCCAATGCCCACATGCCCTTATGCCCACATATAGCTGACACAATCCCAATTTTCACCACCATTTCTAGGGTTAGGGTTTAATTTGGGGGGTCGGAAAGAGCGTTACGAGCTCCGTCTTAACCCCGCCATTAGTGTTGCAGGCACCCAATTTTATGTTTGAGGACGTGGCATACTCCCGTAGGATCACTTTGTATACTTGCTCCTTCACGTAAAGATGCGGTTGCTTTTAGATCCTCGAGTTTCTTTCAAGGAAAAGTAGGGAAAATGCGGTGAGCGGTGTTTTAAGTGGCTTCATGCCTTGCAAGGTATAAAGCGATTTCTCCATAATTCATACACACCATGCTCCTTCGGGAGTATAGTTTACTTCTATCATGGAAGATTGACGTGCGGATTTTTTTCAATAGGAACTACTTAAGAATTTGTAGTTAATTATTCTAAAAAAAAAAACAATTTTAGACTTGAGTTTTACTGATACTTTCATTTCACCATCTAAAATTTGGCCCATCTTAAGATATTATTTTTTCAAATATATCAAAGGTAAAATTAGGATTTTTTTTATGGAGGTTAATCAATAAGTTAATGAGGTTACATCCTCAAATTTTGAGGTGCTAAAATTAATTCTCGATGAAGTTTTACCTAAAGGAGTAAATAGATATTATATTCCTGCACAAGTAAAATATCTTTTGGCTTGGGCCCTCGATGACAATTTTCAAAAATAAAAATTTGGATTTTGAATTCTTAATGCTTGAATGGAAAAAGAAAAAATTTGAAACTCAAGTGACTAGGTTGCGAGGTCCATCTTAAATACATGACCTAAGTTTGAAGAGGTTAGTTCCTCAATATTTAATATTTATACTAAAATACTCACGTATATTGACTTTAAGGGAAGGATCTTAATTGAGAATATTCTCTCGTAAGATCAAAAACTAAAAGACAGATGTAAATGCAATGGGTGTCACGTGTGTAGTTTGTACTAGTTAAATTATGTGTGTATATATGTAATTACTTGCTGCATATTAACTAAATATTCAATAATCAAAGAGATCAACTAAATATTCAATAATCAAGAGATCTATTGATCGAAATTTTGGTTAATCATCAATAATAATAAATTTTAAACAAGACTAACATGTAGTATAATTTATAATTAAAAAAAAAAAGTTAATAAAAATTTATTATTTGTTACCATTGTGTTTGAAAACTGGTTATAAACCTTTTTAAAATGTTTACATTTAATACGTATTTTAATCTATATATTATAAAAGCTATTATATGCATGACATCTAGAAGCATAAAAATTCAATAAAAATAAAATGTTTTTAAACCGATTTTATAACTTAATATTGTAATGGAAAAGAAAGCATGCATACTTGTGTTTGTGTGCACAAAATTGTTGAAGAAACTCGCAAATAAAATTGGAGCTCCTTCTTATAAGGCGTCACCGACTCTCAAAAGAAATTGGAACCGAGACAACTATGTATTGAATTGATAATACTTTTTCATTATACAGTTTTCATATTTATACTATACTTCACTATAATTTTTCATTTCCCTTTAAAGTATATATTAGATATTGAGCATCTCTCTCTCTCTGCACAAATAAAGTTTTAAATTTTTAAAATTTTAACTAAAAGAAATAAAACGTATACAAAAAAGCCATTGAAAAGAAAATAAACCAAAATGCCCCCAAAAGAAAAAATCATTGATAAAATATATAAAAAATAGTAATATAATTTGCCACTAGAAAAGGGAAAAAAGGTTGAAATGCATTCATAAAAATTCAAAAAAATCACAGTAAAACTTGGGGACGTTTGCACTAAGTAATCTAATATGTTAATTACCTCTTGCAGGTTAATCCATCAGCGCTCTAATGCATACCTCTTAAAAAAGAATCTAAAGAATTTATTTTCTCATAAAAGGGTGCAGTTTGTATAGAGTCTAGGCTCTAAACAATCAAATTAGAGCCTACTTTCAAATGGTGTCGAGAAATGTGGTTTCAATACTAAAAATATTTGTGATACCCTTAAATATGTTTCCATATTTATTTATAAAGTTTAAAGCTTTAAAAATAGTGTAAATCGACAAATCTATAAAAACTTGAAAATCTTGAAAATTGAATGTCCAAAAATGTGTTACAAAATACACTATTTTCAAAACTTGAAATCCATTTTTTTCTCATGTCCATACATCGGGATGTCATGATGATCAATTTAAAGATATTTGAGCATAAAAAAAAACCTCGTCTAGTAAAACTTTTGAGGTAGGTTCAAACTTGATTGTTTAGAGTCTCGGCTCTCTATAAACTTTTTTTCCTAGTAAAATGGTATTACTAAAAACCACACAAAAATTTTGAAAAGTAAGAATAATAGAGCCTATCTTGGGTAAAGATTATTTTTGAGAGAGCATTAGGAATGGAGCATAAAAGATAGAGAAGGTATAGGGGAGGCAATGGGTCGGTATGGGTAACCCAAATAGCAATATGGACCAGTACCCATGCTGGGCCCGATGGGGCCAGGGTACCCATATCTGTACCCGTACCCGTAATACTGTTATGGACCCAACCCGTACCCAGAAATATGATAAATAACAAAGAAGGGAACTGTAGATATTTTTCTCAATTTGACGAAGTACTTCAACTAAGTCACTGACATTACACAAAAGAGAGGACTTCAGCAATAATATCATATAACTTCAAAAAATGGTAGAGAGAACCGAACAACAATGACAAAAAATATATATATATATGTAGAAAGGCATCAATTAATATAGTAGAAATTAATGGATTCAAAAATTGAATCACTAAAAATATCGAATAATCACATGAGATACACGACCCAATTGCCCCCGTAATTTTTGTTGCAATGTGCAAAAAGCAAGATGAAAAGGGCGCAATTAAACAGCCATTGAAGAAGAAAAAATTCACCAGATGCTCATATTGCCGAGGATCAAGAGGGATGCTGGATGCAACAGTGAGGGTTTGAGAATGCATCTCTGCAACATCCAATCATCTGAAACATCTCTCTCTCTAAGTCCTAATCCACCTCTCTCTCTCTGAACCCCAGCTGACCTCTCACTCCACGGAGTCTTAAGAAAGGGAGAATACCGGTCAGGACTCCAAAGCTCCTTTTCATATTTGAAATCTCTCTCTCCCCCCTCCAAGGCGCCCTTTCATATTTGAATCTGTGCCCACCATTAATCCACTCTCTTTCGCCATCAGTAATTCTCTCTTTTCTTCTCTCTAAATATTAATCTTGATGTATTAAAAAAAGCGGGTTAGGTATAGCATGGACCCGTACCCAGACCCAAGACAATCAGGGTTTGCTGGATTGGACCGGGACCTACTCGTAGGTCTGAAACTTGGAACCATTCCCGGACCTTAGTCGGGTACACTCGTTGGATCCCGGTCGACTGCCAGTCCTAAGAAGGTATGGGAAAAGAAAGTAATATATGACGAGAGAAGGTATATGGGGTAGAAAAGATTGGGTGAAGCAAGAGAGCGTGTTCAGGAAGTAGGATAAAACTTGGGCACCGGATTTCTAAATATTGGTTGAAAGAGAGATTATCATGCTATTGGATGGGGAATTTTCTTGGATATGGAAACACTCTTAGATATGGTATGGAGATGTGGTAATGATGTTATTTATCTTATCTTATATATATTATTAGTATAAGATAGGCTTATTTTTATTTCTCCTATATATATACTTACCATATAATATGGTCAATTTTATTTCTCCTATATATAATTATAATCAAATAGATTCATTTTTATTTCTCAAATTTTAGATTGTGGGTACTCTCTCAAATTTTAGATTCTGAGTACTCTCTCTCTCTGATTAGCTGGGGGCAATAGGATTGAGTTGGGGATAAAGGGTGGGATCAAAACAATTTCCTATTTATATACTTACGATAATAAGATAGGGTCTTTTATTTTCCTTATATCATTTTTATAAAATAAATCACGCTAAAATCTTGATTTCTTAAAACCCTATTGTAGGAGATTCTCTCTCTTCAAAAGATTTCATGAAAATCTCTCATCCCTTATAAAATCTCTTATTCTCTCTCTTGTGTGCACTCATATTCTATCTCCCTTTCTCTCATTAAAATATAGAAACAATATGGAGATATGGAAACAACGTTGAGATACATCTCTTGTGCATGTTCTCTCTTCCCTCTCTCTTTCTCTCTCAAATTTAGTTTTTCTAAATAAGTGCATATTCTATCTCTTTCTTCCCTTAAAGTTAAGAATGTGTCCTACAATCTCTATAGGACTAGGACTTCTTATTATCGCGATACATATCTACCCTTGAACTCTGACTTAATAATGTAGTATAGATAAGGCATCAACTTTAAACATTCCAAGAAAGACACACCTCGAAATTGTGCTAAAAGATGTAGTTTTGGTGCTAGATAACTTTGTGATGGCATAATAAATTGTTTTTGTCTCTAATCATGGAGTTTATAGCTCTAAAAATAGTACAAATTGAGTAGATTCATAAATCTTTAAAAATCTTGAAAATGGAAAGTCTAGATATAAGATACATTATTTTTAAGACTTGAAATTAATTTTTTCCGCATCCATATATCTCAAGGTGAAGATGATCCATTAGAGGGTTTTACAGTGTCAAAACAATGTGGTTTGGTGGTTTTTAAGGTGTGGCTTACTTTTATAATATAAGGTTGATACCTTATATAAACTTTGTACCTAGATTGATTATTTATGTCACTCATGTGTGCTTCTCTAACCTTCTTCTAAATGCAGTTTTTTCGTGAATAGTGCTATTAATGTCTAATCCCCAATGTTTAAGAAAACATATCGATGACCCAATCATCCATTTAGAAACCGGTCCAGTTCGGTAGATTGGTAGTTTGGATTGATGAATCGGGGAGATTGGCTAGATGCAACCTTAAAAACACCTAAAAAACCAACTAAAATTTCTTATAAATACAACGTTTTAGGTTTATGAAAAAACCAAGTGGTATTACATTATGGTTTTTTATTATTTTAATGGAAATATATAAATACTGAGAACATATCTCATATCTGAGTATTTATTGTCCATTACAATCATTTTACAGTCAAAATGAAATTTAAAATGCAACTAA